GCTCCCCGAAACAGCTATGGGGAGTGTATCGATCGCCTGAAGCTGCATCCGGGCGAACTCATGGATCAATGGACTCTGCTGCGTGGTGACGTACGTCAAGTCTCCCGTCACCTTTCGGCTTAGGGTATCTGCGACGACGTTCGCCTTTCCCGGATGGTTCTGGATCGAACAATCATTATCCTTGACCAACTTGAACCAACGGCGTTGCCTCATATTAAGCTCCTTCTGCGTAAAGATATACCGTAGGCTCTTATGGTCTGTAAATATTTTGCAGCGTTCGCCGTAAAGATAATGACGCCAAATCTTCAGGGAGTGAACGACTGCAGCTAACTCTAAGTCGTGCGTAGGATTGTTCTACTCATGGGGCTTAAGCTGACGTGAAGCGTACGCAACGACTCGTTCGTCCTGCATAAGGACGCATCCCAAACCCTATCTCGAAGCATTGCTGAAGATATTAAAACTCCGAGAAGGATCGGGAATACTCAATGCTGATGCTCAAGTTAATCTCGTCTTGAGCTCCTCGAAACAGTAAAACTGGAATGTACAAGCTTAACTTAAAGCTTATACTTACTGATTGCAAGACTAGAGAGTTCAGTAATTTAATACTGAATAAGAGACTTGATCTGATCTGAAGATACATCAATTCACAATTAAGTGAATTGTAAAATACTGTTGACTGAAGATGGACACTTCCTAAAAGAAAGTGTTCCACTGATAAGACATGGTTTCACAATGAAACTCTGAAATATGTTGGTCGTCCTCTTCTGGCTGCTGGCAGATCTCCGATCGGAAGGCTGGTGGTGAAGACTCTCTTCGCAATCTCCCCCGTGTACTTAGACGTAGACATGGCATCCTTCAATGGAAAGCGTCGATTTATCATTATGGCACGATCCGTTGTTGTTGACTGGCTCTTCTTCATCGCGGCGAATGTCAACCTGCAATACCTGCAACTTTTTACTCCCTCCGAGGTTACACTTAATCTCAAGAAGAAGTTCCTCATGACTTAATATCTCCCACGATTTCTCAGATTCTTCAGAATTTGAAAATCGAGGCGCTAACATACTGAAAATGGTGGATAAGTCTTGTCTTACCAGACAGACTATCCTCGATCTTGTCATAATTGACCTAAATATTCTCATGGCTGAAAAACCATGACTTGACTCTCGCATGGCTGAATCATCTATGTTCAAATTCTGAAACTATCCCGAGACAACTTAAATAGTTGCTTCCGGAATGAAAACATGATATTTACTAACTTACTTGACTTGATAAGGTACGACTTCAAGTTTCCAGGTAAA